CCCCCCCCCCCCCGGCTGCCCAATCTCCCTCCCCTCACAGTAGATGGAAGACTCTCCTCTCTGTAGTAACAGAAAGTAGGAAGAAGGATAAAGAAAAAAGCAATGAGAAATAATTCGTTGAACTTTGTTTTTTTTTTATATGACAGCTGTACTGAGATTATTATAAGCTCAGAATTGGAAACATTATCCACAATGGAGAAATAGCTGCTGAAAATGATGATTACTGTAGTGACTAAATTAACTTTGATTAGAGAAAAAACAATAGATGTCTGGAAACCTCTTGTAGAGGTTTTTTATGAAACAGAAAAACAAATTACTTATGATCTGTTGTTTCAGTGATTAGGAAAAACTGGATAATAGAAAAAGAGAGCTTATTTGGGCACTTTTTTCTTTTTCTTTGAAGTTTGTGCTAATTTTTATGTTCTCTTTCAAACTTTAAAGAAAAGAAAGTATGGCAAAGGAAACTGGATCAGGAAAACTGTAAAGAGGAAATAGTAATCTTCCCCAGTACTTTGGTCCTACCATGATGCATATTTTTCTCCTGGTGACTACTTGTGGCTTTTCCATAAAAAAACCCCCTTCTTCCATGAAGGAATTGATTAGCAGCTACCATGTCTCTTCTGACTTCAAGAGACTTAATAGTCTCCTTCATGATAATTAGATTCTTTTAATGATTTTCCCATTTACCTATGCATGTTCCTGGGATGCTCTTGAAATTAATACAGATACTGGGTAGGGCAGGCAGAAAACAGTACCCATCAGCATAGGTGAGTAACAGTGCAGCAGCCATATAGGTAACTGGCCAACCTTGAAGACCTCAGATCACTAAATTAGTCGTAGCCCCTCTGTTACCTGCAGAGAAAGGCAAGTAGGCATCCTTCTTTTGGAATTCACCCTTTTCATCCAAGAAATGAGCTGGGTCAAACTTCTCAGGATCTTCCCAATAGAGAGGATCAAAATGGACTGAAGCGCCCAATGGAAGAATAGTTGTGCCCTTTAAGGAGACAAGAAGATACAAAAAGCAAAAGTGGGTTTTTCCCTCCCATAATTTTTTAAATTCTTTCAAAAATGAGACTCCTTAGAAGGTATTAAAAAGTATTATTGATGCAATTTACAAGATGTTATCATACCTAGCGTTTGACCAATACATATTCACATATTTATAGAAAATTGTTAGTTGAAAGAAGAACATAACAAGACTGATTTGTCTACTGTTTCACCAAAGTAATCTGCATTTATCCCAGTTTATAATATTAAAGTATACAGCCTTCAAATTACAAGTGGAATTCAATGCAGTTCCTAAATTCTGAGGGTGTACTTTTGTTGTCTAAGTTAACAAAACAAATCCAGTTTTAAGAAATTGGAGTGACGTTATTAGAAATGCTTCAGCATTTTAAAATTATCTATTCAACATCTTATTCCTTTTCTCCACAGAAAACTTGGTTTTGAAATATTTTAGAAATACCCTCTAGTTATGTTAATATTGTGCTACTTTGGCACATCAGCATTATTTTTCTTTCAAGACTTTAACACATTTCTGTATCCTGTATCTGTATTGTGTTCTCTTTATCCAGAATGAGGTTGGGGGATTAAAACACCCCAAACTGATACAGAATGCTTGGACAGAGACAATGGGTGTCTACTGGGCCCACTACAGTTGCTCACTAATAATGTCGTACTTGGCCTTCACAGTCTCTGTCAGATCTTCCTTTCAGCTTGGTTTTTTCTTGCAGATATTTCATTATCGGATTAATAATATCATCAGTGCTACAAAGTGTGAAAATTATGTTGGTTTGCTGTTTAGGAACCTGTGTGGATTTGAGGAGATTTTTTTCCCTTAACTGTTCCTGCATATTTGAGTCTTGATTAAAGGGTGTGTAATGGGGAGGATGTGCGCAGAGCTGTTGCCTCTTGCTTTCTCTTTTGATTGTACCTTTTGAATGATATATAAATTAGGCTTATTACTGTATCTCTGTTCATGTCTAATTTTTCAGAGTGGCAAACCTCTAGGAATTTTGTTCCATTCTGCAACCTATCTTGATCTAAGAGGTCGAAAGCTTCCCATTTTACTGTATGGTATTTTTATACAATCACAGTGAAAATGATAGCATGCAATAGTCACAAATCATTGTGAAAGTGAATCATTTTTTTAAAAGGTATGTTTGCATAGTTTTAATTAAAAACAAAAAATAGGGTAACCAGTGCTCCTAGGAAGCCATTTTAAGAGAGGAGGTTTTATGCATTGTTGTATGGTTTTTTCCCCCTTCCCTTCCATTCAGTTTTCAATCATGTCTGCTTCTCGGCAACTGAGCGGACAAGACTTTTATCTTTGAAATGTTTTTCAGAAATGGTTTGCTATCAATTCCTTCCTAGATTGAGAGTGAGTTACTGGCCCAATATCACCCAGCTACAATTTTGATACAGATCTGTATGAAAAGAGGAACCCAGACTTTCTCTGATTTATCATACCCGAGGGATGAAGTGTCCTCTGAAATTCACATCCTGAGTTGTCATATGTGGGAAGTTCTCAATACTCGACTGCAGGTAACGTAAGATCTCATGAAGGAAGGCATTGGTGTAGGACAGCTTCATCCTATCCTCCATAGAGGGGACACGGTTTGTTCCTAAAACCTCATCGATTTCCTGCTGGGCTTTAGCTATAATCAATCATATTTTGTTAAAGCAAACAATATTATTTTAAAAAACTATTTAACAACTATGCACTGATCTATAGATACAAATCATCAAAATGAGCAGTCTAACTTCTTACTTCCCAATTTCACAGCTCCTTGAGCTCATTCACATAGCTGTTTGCCATGCTTCGCTCCTATCCTGGTTGGGAAGAAAATAGATAAAAATAAAACACACTGTTTCACCTTGTGCCCTAAAGGATAGCGAATCAAGGCTGTCCATTTATCTTGTCTACCTAACACTGTAAGGGAAGTGACTAGCAATCTCCCCCCCCCCGCACAACTCTCTTCCCTGCTGCCAAAGGAGAATTACCCTATTGACCACTAGACAGCAGCTAACGCTTCATTTCGTTAACTGCAAGCTAGCAGTCATCCATATTTGTGTATTTCATATGCAGCTGCTGCATAAATATTCTTGGAGTCAGAGTTCAAGAAAGTGATTTTGGTGCATGAGAGAGGCCTGTTTTCTGTTACACCCACACAGGTTCTCTAAATGACAGCATATATACTACTCTGATCATAGAAAAGGGTAGGAAAAGAAAAACACAGCAATATTTTGAAGTTTCCATATTTGAAATAAGGGAAGCATTCTCAAACATTGTTAAAATTATTCCATCTATATATAATTTCAGCATAGTCTGCTTAGCTGGGAAAATATTGGTCCATCCTTGTAATCCACTAATTACCAGAGTAATTTTAGTCACATATGCCTGATATAACAGAATAACAGAGTTGGAAGAGACCTTGGAGGGTCTTCTAGATCAACCCCCTGCTCAAGCAGGAAACCCCATACCATTTCAGACAAATTGTCCAATCTCTTCTTAAAAACATGCAGTATTGGAGCACCTACAACATCTGGAGACAAGTCGTTCCACTGATTAATTATAAAGCCTCTTACGTTTTGTCCTTCATGATAGTTGATTCTTGCTGTACATTCTTCTAAGTGTGATCTATAATGCATGCAAATCACTCAAGAAACGTATTTAGGAGAATGTGACATTTATATTAGGTTTCTATTACTGAAGTGAAGTTTCCTTAAAATACCTATTTGAAAGGTATTGGTCATTAACACATGGGGTTGTCATTTCAAATATTTGGAAACATCATGGAAAAAATGGCCATGAAAAATTCCTACTTACATTTGCAGTGTTTCTAGGAATCCATATTTGAGGGGTACAATATAAACCAGGGGTCTTCAAATTTGGCCCTTTTATGACTTGTGGACTTCAACTCCCAGAATTCCTCAGCCACCGTGCCTGAAGTCCACAAGTCATAAAAGGGCCAAGTCTGAAGACCCCTGATATAAACAAAGGTAATCACTCCACATACCTTGGATATTTGGGAAGTTGGCCAGAATAATAAGGCCAAATGAAAGGGCAGTGCCTGTGCTTTCTGTTCCAGCAAGGAAGAGTTCAAACACAGTCATGACCAAGTCTTCCATACAGATTACAGAAGAATCTTGTTCCTATAAATAAGGCAAAAATAAAACAAAACAGGTAGAATTTGTAATGTGTAGCCACATAATCGTGTCATTAAATTGTCCATCTGCTGCTTCTCATTTTTCTTTTATAAGACCAACTTATAACATAGGTAGGAAATAAACCAAGATAGACTCCTGCATATTGTCTATATTAATTTGAATGTCCAATTCAATTTAAGAAGAGTTTTGGTCTGGTGGATCGATGTTTAAATGAAAGAGAAACCGCTGGGATCCAGTTTGGTCTAGTGCAGGGGTCCTCAACCTATGGGTCGTGGCCTGGTACCGGGCCACAGGAATGGCTGGCGAGTGCATGCACATGTGCACTCCCCCACCCATGCCAGCACTGCTGTGTGGGTGCTAGCGGCTCTGTTTGTGCATGAGCGGGGGCGCTAGCACCGCCGCCAGGATCACACAGGTGCTACTGCCGCCACCATGCGCACACCCATTTGCGCATGTCACTCATGCTGTAGCAGAACATGTATTCTCTGAATACTATAGGCCAAGGAATTACAGTTAGCCAAATCTGGTAGAAGAGCCTTTTTTTGCTGTGGCACCTGCCGTCTAGAAAATCAATGCTCCTCGAGGTGAGAACCACCCTGACCCTCGCCTTACAAAAGGGCCTGAAAACCTGGCTTTGCCAACTGACTTGAAGCCCAATGGGGGCATCTTATTCTGGAACTGCTAATAGTTTAGGATGTCCCACCTTCATCCCATTTATGCATTGGTTCTTTGTATTCATTTTGCTGTTAATTTTAATAGTTTCACTTTCAATATCCAATGTTTTTAACCTTTTAATTGTTTTATACTATTGTTTATGGCATTGTATAAGCTATCCAAAATTGCTTGATAGTGAGACATGTAGCATATAACCTAAATAAATAGATCTCTTCTTCATGGAATAGAGCATCTATCTCCATCTTACAAACTGAGTTTTTGAAATCTGGCTCTGAAGTATTACATGGTTTATAAACTCTCTTTTCTCTGATATCCTCTTCCATAATACTTTTCAGTTCTTGTCAAGAAAAAGCAACAAGACTTCACTTCTCTTAATGCTCAAAGAATATTTGCTACTTCATGACTCAAAAGCATCCAGATTAATCTTGCAATGAATGTTTTGCTGGCACACTGTTGCGTTCTTTCACATGGAACCAAGTAGCTTAATACTTAATTAACAGATGGATAATTTTTCTGTGTTGGGAATACAACCTCTTTTGCCAGCAGGAGGGACACAGGAGGTTTTCCAGGGACAATCCTACAAGGATAGGGACATTTGTAATCCTCTCCTTTTTTAAGAATGGAAAAATGAGTTGAGTCCTCTGATAGAAACATTTCTCCTATTTCCACATTTTAATAAGGCTATCCTGCAAAAGTTCAAGGATCACACTAGTATTTAGTGAACAGGATGCTTTTATTTGTATGTTATTTTAGGTGGATTAGAGGGCCATAGAAATAGGAGATGCAACCTAAGGTTCAACTCCCAGTCCCACACTAATTTTGACACAAACCACCACCACCACTAGCAAGAACAACAACCAAACAGCATCCAAGACTGGCCATCCTGCCACCATGAAACCCCTGAAATCTTTTCCAAAAAGGTTTCCACTGAATTATAGTTTAAGTGCAACAAATTGAAGGAGTTGTTTATTATTTAATTTATATTAAGGCAATTAAATCACACTCAGTTTTTGTTCAATCATTTTAGGGAACACATCTAGAGCCCATTCTCTTCAGGACTCTCAGCCCCCAAAGAGATAACATTCCTATGCTCTTGTCTATGGACATTCTCAGTCATCCAGGTCATAGTTATCCCAAAGGTGCTTTTTCACAAGGCAACTGGATTTTCTTGTTTTTCTTTCAAGACTTTTCTCTTCTCATCCAAGAAGCTTCTTCAGAGCTGAAAAAGCTCCTTAGATGAGAAGTGAAATGTCTTCTCATAGAGCAGAGTGTACACAACGGTTTCTTAAGGAGTGAGTTTGTTTACAATGGCCACTGCTCCTAGGACGCTGTGTATTTTATTGTAGTATTTGTTGCAGAGTCAGGAGATATTAGTTCTTTCATTTTCTGCTGTCTCAACAGTACAAATTGCTCACCACCATGGGCATCTCAAGAAAATGGAGGATAAGTGCATAATTCAAACCTTTTTCCTTTTGTACTTTTGTGCAAAATATCTTTGCAATGTACCTTTTCTAATTTAAGCAGGAAGCAATCGATATAGTCTCTCGGATTCTTTGGATCCAAGGTCTTCTTGTGAGCGTCCACTTTACTCCTAATGAAGTCACAGACCTTGTTACAGTTAGAGAGGACTTTATTATGAGGCCCAGGAAGGAATTTCATGATATTTGGCAAACTGCTGTATATCTGAAACATGGTGATAGTAAACATTAGCCATTGTCAGTTCATTTCTTATGCTCTGTCTCAGGAACTGCACAGAAAAATGATTTCCCTATAAAGTGACCTTTTATTTCTATCCTTTTTTGAAAAAAAACAACTATGCAAGACCAAATACAGATATATTCATTCCTTACCAAAGAAATATAAAATATACAACTAAAACTGATTTCCTCAATCTTTAACTTTGCAAAAGTGTGCCTCATAGTCAAAATGTTTTGAACCAAGATATCCCAGATGGACTAACCAGGCAGTTAGCGCAACAGCCAAGGGATCATGAGCTTCACACCCTACAACCAATTTCTCCCTGTTAGGGGACCCTAAATGGGCCTGAAGTCACCTCAGAGAGGTGACAAAGAAGGAGGGAAGCCCCGCTGACTGTGGAGAGACGGCGGTCAATCTGGTCGTTCGAGGAAACCTCTCCAGAAACCAGCAGGAGAAAGGCTCGCTTAACTCCAGAGTTTAGCCCCAGCTACAAGCAGCCAAAACCCTAAAGCACTATTTTAAGCTGACTGTAAACAACATGCTTGGAACTGGGTAAGAACACTGTTTTATGTGAAATGGACAATAGTTAAATCTTAGAATAGTTAATTGAGAAGAAACAGGGTTAAAGCTTTATGTATCTTTGATGACTCTGGATATAATCACTGCTAAGTAGCAACATAAAAACTAATCAGAACCAAGAGGAACAATCACGTGAACAAGAGATGAAGTGTGATTCTCACAAATACAACTTTTATAAGGCCACTTTAAAAATCCTCCCATTTTTGTAGATTGAAGGGAACTAATTGAACCCTTTTGCTGTTAAAGAGAAAACTCCACTTGTAGAAGCACATAAAATCGACATACCACTCCGGGATTGCTCAGAAAGAAACTATTAAATTCTTTAAAAATTTCCAATATTTCAGTGAAGTTTTTATCTTCATAAGAGAATCGATTCCCAAAGACAACAGAGCATATCACATTAGAAACAGAAGCTGTGGTGGCTGGGATTGTATCAAAGGGGTGACCTGAAACAGCAAAAAGAAAGGAGAAAAGAGATTGTGTGACCACATTTTGCATCCCCAAACCCTTTTCCCTGGTCATTTTGTTTAAATTACATTCTATTTGGGAGAATGTCTGTCTGGGAGTTGGGATTCAACACACAGTGTTCACCACCCAGTTATGCTTCAGCCTACTTTTTAATTGTTGACAAGTGGAATAGACTAGACTAGACTAGACTAGACTAGACTAGACTAGACTAGAATAGTGTGTTTGTCCGAATGTGGTTAGACTCACAAGAAAATTGTCTACAGTACAGAAACATTAAGTGTACTTGCAAAACAACAAAAGAAATCATAATCATCATCATCCCCCATCTTGATATAACCTTGACATGGTTCTGGGGCTTGTGGGCTCTGTGGAAGATGAAAGCTATGCCAGAAGTTCAATCATACTGGACAGGTCTCATCAGAGGAGTCTCTCCCATTTAAAAAATACAGTGAGACATAAATTTCAAAAAGCCATACTGGCTCAAATGTCGCCCAGGTTAACAAGGTCCATGCTAGATGTTGGATATCTGGTGAAAAATGGGCTACAGAACTCAGGACTGTTGGCTGAGCAACCAGAGCCAGCAGCTACAGAACTACTGGAAGAAAAGGTGTTTACCCATCGCAAATATACAGTGATTAAAAACAAAGAAATGATGTTCTGTTATTACAAATCAAGTCCAACAAGAAGCGGATATTTGAAACGAATGCACCAGTTCTGGAAAAAACATTCAGAACCAGAAATAACAAAATAGAGACTAGCAGATGAACATCAATTTATAACAGGAAATAAAGTAGTCACAGAAGTAGAATTGGAAGAACTGCAAACGTTTACCCAGGGCAAAGAAATCAAAGCCTTGCCAGAAGTAACTCGGACTGTACAGGCAAACCAGGGAGAGTTGGCAGTAGAGGAATCCAGCAGAGATATAAAAAAAACTGTTTTCATTTGGAAACCAGGCATCCTATCCTCTGCCTCAGGAAGAAAAATGCCCTCTAACTAAAGAAATAAAAGAATTGAAACAAAGAATAACTGAGCATCTAGAACAGCACACAAACAAGAGAATAAGTCTGCCTGAATTGAAACTTGTTCCAAAAAACCAGCTAGCACAAGCATTAAAAGATGCAAATACTGCAATATCAAGTATAGGCATCAACTCATTGTAAGAAACAAACCAACTAATATATAGCACAGCTGCAGTTATAACTGAATATTTGGGATGCAAAATCAACAAAGAAAAAAACACAAAACAAAAAAGGAAGATTAGACTGGAAAATAAGATCAGAAAGTTGAAATCAGATGCAAGCAATCTAGAATAAATGAAAGAAAAGAAGCTGAAGAACAAGAAGACCAAAGAATACCTAATCAAGAAATACTACTTAGAAACAAGGAAGATCAAACTGCAGTGAATCAGTCAGCACCTGACAAGGAAGAAACAGTGCAGTTCTGGGTGTAGATATGGGAAAACACAAATAAATACAACAAGGTCGTAGCTTGGTTGAAAAAAGTAGATAAGAATAAAAAAGAAGTTGAAATGAAAAAACTAGTAATAACAGCAGAAATGGTAAAGAAAAGAGAAAGGAAAATCAAGAATTGATCAGCACCAGGTGTAGATGAACTGGATGGTTTTTGGTTGAAACATTTAACTGGTCTATACCTACTTGTTGCCAAGCAGTTTAACAACATACTACAAGGAGGTGACACTGAAGAGTGGCTAACATTTGGCAGAACCTGATAATGAAAGATCCAACAAAAGGGGTATAGCACCAGGCAACAACAGGCCAATTACCTATTTAATAACAACTTTCAAATTGTTACAGTAACTGTTGTGGTAGCTGATGGAGATCAAACAGCATCTAGTTGAAAACAATTTCTTTCCACCTGAGCAGAAAGGAAACCACCCCAAAAACAGAGGAACAAAAGTTCAACTGCTAATAGACAAAATGATTTTGCAAAATTGCAAGAGAAGGAAGACCAACCTGAATGTATCATGGATTGACTACAAAAAGGCATTCGATTCTCTGTCACATGACTGGATAATCAAGTGCCTAGAAATAACAAGAGTCAGCAGAAACATCAGAAGCTTTGTGCAACGATCGATGGCAAAATGGAAGACATGGTTGAAGGTCAATGGTGAAAGACTGGAAGAGGTTAATATCAAGAGAGGAATATTTCAAGGAGATTCACTATCACCACTACTATTTGTTATTGCACTGTCAACAATACTAAATAACTCAGCCCGTGGCTATCAAACATCAAAAACATCCGCCAGACTATTCACCTCCTTTACATGGACAATCTGAAGCTGTATTGAAAAACACCATCTGAAATAGAATTGCTGTTCAACATTATCCGTATATACAATCAAGATATTGCAATGAAGTTTGGACCGGACAAATGTGCCATGCTCACCATCAAACAGGGAAAAATAGCAAAAACTGAAAGAATCAATTTGCCCTATGAAAACAACATCAAGAGTTTGGATTAAGATGATTACTACAAATAACTGGGTATCCTTCAAGCTGATAGCATCAACCCCATTGAAATTAAGAAAAAGATTAGAGATGAATACATCAAGAGAGTGAAGCTCTTAAAGTCCAGATTCAATGAAGGAAATACCATCAAGGCAATCAACACTTGGGCAATTCCAGTCATTAAATAAACAGCTGGAATCACACAGACTGACTACAAGCAGCAGAATGACAAAGTAGCGACAATAATGCATTGGAAGATCTGCAAGAAATATCATTTGCCTGCAAGCAAGAACTGGTGGTACCATAAAATAGAGAATGTAATAGAAAATGAAGAAGTTAAATTGCTCTGGAACTTTAGAATTCAAACAGACAGGCACCTGCCACATAACATCCCAGACTTAACAATTGTCCATAAGAAAGAAAGAAAAAGTCTGGATAATGGACATGGCAGTGCCTTGAAGCAGCAGAATAGACAAGAAAGAAGTGGAGAAGATAACAAAATACAAGGCCTACAAATAGAAATAGAACAACTGTGGCAAAAGCAAGCAAAGGTAATACCAATAGTAATAGGCACCTTGGGTACAATCCCAAAACAACTAGAGCACCACTTGATCACCATTGGCATTGACAAATTCACCATCAGTCAATTACAAAAGATGGCTTTACTAGGAACTGCTTCCATCCTGCGACGATATCTGTAATACCATCAAACATCCACATCTGCCTATCCCAGGTCCTTGTAAGGGCTCGATAGGTAGACAAAAATGCAAAACCAGTCTGAACATCTGGCTGACTGTGCAACGACTACTACTACTACTACTATTACTACTAATAGATATGACAGTGACAAAAATGCCAAATCCAGTCTGAATGTGCAAGTATGCGATGATAATACTAGAAGGAACTAGGAGGAAATAAGAGATAATAAAAGGAGATTTCCGGTTTCAGAGGCAGCACCTCTAGCTGTACGAAGAGACTCGCTCCTCATCAGCTAGTTTCCCTCCGCCGGTAGACCCTTATGCGGGTCGAAAATCGCCCTGGAGGGTGCGACTACCGTCGAGGAGGCTATGCCCCCCGGCTGGCCGAGTGAACTCTGAGGGCCGACGGAGAAGAAGATTGGCCAGTAAAATGGCCGATCACCCAGCTGCACCAACCGCAAGTCAAAAGAACAACTAAGCATGAAGACTCACCGTGGTGAATCCGGGTGAGACTCCTTTCTCCTTTCTCTCGCTATTCTGATTCTTCCTGTAAAGAGCTCTGACTATTTCTCTTTGCTAAGAAGGCGGCGGCTGCCTATATCGGAAAGAGAGCTTAAAAGAAAAGAAAAGAAAAACCCTCTTTGTCTCTTTTGGTTGTTTTTTCTACCATTGGATTCTCTTTGTGGGGATATTTGGGGGAGAAGAAGAAGAAGAAGAAGAAGAAGAAGAAGAAGAAGAAGAAGAAGAAGAAGAAGAAGAAGAAGAAGAAGAAGAAGAAGAAGAAGAAGAAGAAGAAGAAGAAGAAGAAGAAGAAGAAGAAGAAGAAGAAGAAGAAGAAGAAGAAGAAGAAGAAGAAGAAGAAGAAGAAGAAGAAGAAGAAGAAGAAGAAGAAGNAAAAGAAGAAGAAGAAAAAGAAGAAGAAGAAGAAGAAGAAAAAGAAGAAGAAGAAGAAGAAGAAGAAGAAGAAGAAGAAGAAGAAGAAGAAGAAGAAGAAGAAGAAGAAGAAGAAGAAGAAGAAGAAGAAGAAGAAGAAAAAAAAAAAAAAGAGGATATTGCTATTTGTCCCTATCAACTTTATAATGTTGGAGATACCTTTCTTGTTAAATTTTTAAAAAATAAGACTGAAAAAAACATTTTTTTTGTTAACTTTATCAACTTGGAAAAAAGATCTTTCAGTCCACTGAGGACATCTGGTGGCCAAAAGTGACATTATAACTCTATCTTTGTGATTGGAAGAGGGATTGGATTTCATACAATAGTAAAAGAGAAAAGATAATCTGACATTTGGGTGGTGAAGCTAGCTATTAGACCTTTGGAGGCGGATATTTGTGGACTTTTTAAAAATATAATTTCTAATAAAGGAACAGGCTTCTCTACTACCAAAATGGAAGAAAATATTCCACATCTTGACTATGATTTAATATTGGAAATTGTTTTTTGAAATGACAGAAGACTTCAAAACTTATTGGAAACCTAGGAGACAATCTAAAGATGCCATCTTGGCACTTCCAACTGACCGTCCAATAATGAATCAAGCCATGGAACAAGGAACACTAGAGGAACAACAGAGCAATTCTGAACAGGCTTTCACACATTGAGACACACATTCTAAAGAGACAAAGATATTATGCTTACAACCCAATGACGAATCTACGCTGGGAGTAAAGGTGGTAACCACTGAGTCAACCAATTCTACACAACATTACCTACAACAGATGGATAACTTGAATGATCAAGAACTAATTGTAACTGACTCAGTTCAAATATCAAAAATAACAAAGATTGACACTCAGACACAACTTTCTGGAAACCACAACAAAGCGGATAACTTATTCATAATTATAACATGGAATAAAAGTCAATATAATACTCAGATGATATTGGCAGGAAAAGAAGAAAATTTTGCTCAGTTTGAATTGGTTAGAAACTTTTGTAACCAAAGTTTGAGGTTTGATAATTGAAAAGTTTTAATATGGGAATTAACTTGGCATAGAAAGAAAGCTAGAGTCAGGTTTAAATGTGAGATAAAACGCTACTTGATGGGTTAAAAAGGCTTTAGAGATTTTGTCTGATTTAATAACGAAAGAAGGATGAGAATTGACTGTTATCATACTTGATAATTATTAGGGAGTAAACTTGTTTAGGGGTTAAAAAGATTTTATAGACGTAGAGTGATGAAATGATAGAACATGTTTTTAAAAATAAATATGTATTTTTTGGAATTACATTATTATTTTAAATATGATAATTATTTTGAAATAGAGAGAGAATTTCTGTCTGATTTAATAATGAACGAAGGCTGGGAATTTCTTGACATTATACTTGATAAGTATTTGAAGGCATAAACTTTATAAAAGGGCTTAAAAAGATTTTTTATAGATGTAGATTGATGAAATTATAGAATATATTCTTAAAAATAGAACTGTATTTGTTGGATTTATATTGTTATTTTAAATATGAAAAATATGTTGTAAGAGCCACTTGTGATAGGGAAAAAATTAGTCTTAATGAATGATCTAATATTAAGGATACCTGAAATCCCAATTATATGTCTATTGAAATGTAACTGGAATATGACAATTGTAATTAGTAAAGCTTAAAACAGGATATAGATTATCATAATTGCAAGGTGATTGAGGATTTTTGTTTGATGGAACTTTATCTAAAATTGTATTAATTTTAATGTAATATTATCCCTTATAGAGAGGAAATTGTTTATAATTAATTTGAGCTATATGTATTTGATTTTGTTGAATGATTTGACACTCTGACCACCACGTTGTGTCCTAAGCTTTTGTAAAAAATGGGAAAAACCAATAAAACTTTTATATAAAAAAAGAGATAATAAAAGGATAAGCCACACTTTATGGGTTAATATGGGTTAATATAACCAGAAGGGCAGAGTACTGATTCACCAAAGGCCAAATATTGTTTCTGAACTGATAAATAACTGTTTTACAATATTGTTGTTGAGAGGCAAATAGAGGCAGGAACATTATATACACAAGCAAAGGCAGGATATAAATAAATAAAGTCTCCTACAACATGAGACCACCTTCAAAGGTTGCTATCTTCTCCACCAAACAGTGGGCCTCTTCCAATATCCGCTCAGCCATCTGCTTCTTTCCCACTCCAAAGTTCCGTAGCATGGTGAGAATAAAGCGACGCAGAATCTTCCATCTTGCATGTTCACCAATAAGACCTGGAGGGATAGAAGTTGCAATAACAGACAACAGATACTGCAACATTTAAAAAATAAAGTAACAAGTTGACCAGTAGTCTCCCTCATTCTCAAAACATCTAAGGAGGGGGAGGTTTCCCCTATCCAGTCATATCCAACTCTAGGGGATGTGCTTTTTCTATTTCTTAGCATATAACCTCAGCATATAACCTTAGCATATAACCTAAGCATGAAGACATTTCTGAGGTTATATGTCCAGCATGACTATACACTGAGGCACTTCCCACTGAAGTGTTACCTATTTATCTACTTACATTTGCATGCTTTCGAACTGCTACATGGACAAGAGCTGGGGAAAGTAACTCGCCCTGTTGTGCAGTTCTCAAACCTGGCCTGATAGCTTTCCAGCTAAGGAGCTCAGGGTTTTTAACCACTGAGCCATCCTGCCCCCTCAAAATATTTACTCTTTTCAAATGTCACCACTCCTGTGGAACTGCATTGGCTGCCAATTTGTTTCCAGGTGCAATTCAAGGTATTGGTTGTCATCTTTAAAGACCTTCATGGCTTGGGACCTGGTTATCTGAGGGACCATTTCTTCCTGGTTACATTCACCCAATCCATAGAGCAGGAAAGCAAGGAATGTTGTGGCCCTGTCTCCTATGGAGGTACAATCTGGCAGGACCCAGAAGACGGGCCTTTTCTATGGTGGCTCCCTCACTTTGGAATACCATCCCTCCAGAGATTAGACTGGCTCCCACTTTAACTGAAAACTTGGCTTTGTGAACGGACCTGGGGAATCTAGAATGGAATGGAGCCCATCAAGTGGCTCGTTTGATTGTGTGTTGTCACCGGGGGGGGGGGGGGGGGGGGGGTT